AATATAAAATGATATATTACTTATTTTTTTTTAATTTTTCAACATGTTTGTTATTCGTATTTATTAAATCCCTGTTACTGGATTAATTAATTGTGTTATATATATTTTGATAAATTGTAAATTATATAACTTATTCGATGTCAACTTAAACCAAGCATAGTCTCCAATTAACAATTATATGCTCTTAAGCAAAAACGAATCTAAGAAAAAAATCTAATAAGAAAATAATATTAAATTTAACTGAAAAAATATTTATTTATGATAATATAAATAAAATATTTAATTAATTTTATAATTTTATATTAAGTATTCTTATTTTTCAGTATCTTAATCCGCAAAAAAATGTTATGCACATGTTTTATTTGTCTCATAAGGTAATTGAGTATTTTAATCAAATCATTTAAAAACAGATAAATAAGAAAGTTAGTAAAAATATATGACCTAATATTTTATACCGGGGAAAATCGCATAAAAAAAGCTTAAAAGTGACATTCATTGACACTTTAAATTTTGAAGCTTTTTTACTATCCATTTAAATCAGTAAAATGACTTTTGTATCAGAAAAAACCTTCAACTTGACTTACTTTTTCATCAAGTAAAAAATTGATCTGTTAAATAGGTAAAAACGATGATGATACAGTTTTTATTTAAAAAAATAACTATTTAATTACTAAAATAAAAAAAAATTAAATCAAAAAATTACAAATCGAAAAGCTAAACAAAAATACATAAAATTAAATAAAAAAATAAAAATAGAAATTAAATGAAAAGTACAAAAATAAATAAGATAAATTAAGATAGAGAAAAATAAATAAAATTTTCAGAAAATTAAAAACAAACTAAAGAAAATTCACATAAATTATAAAATTCGAAAAAAATTAAAAAAGAAAAGAAAATTGTTTGAAACCATCATCGTAAATAATGATATGTTTGAATTTTTTTTTAAAAGCAGTGATGATATGTCAGTTTTTTTTAAAAAAAAAATCTTATAATTTTTTGCGATTTATCCAATAAAAATTAACATATCATCCGTGATAAAATTTTCAGACATATTACTATTGACAATGATGATTTCAAATAGTTTTATTAAAAACATAACCTTGTAATTTGAAAAAAAAAAGATATTTTTGAATTTTATTTAATTTTGTTTAAATTTTAATTTATTCTTTTGTATTTCAGTTTAATCTTTTACTTTTTTATTTTTTATTTAATTTTCTTAATTTTGTTAATTATTTTATAAAAACTTATTAATTAAATATTTTTTGGAAAGAAAAGTTGATACGTCATCATTTTATTTGTTCAGCAGATTGGTTTTTTACTTGAGAACAAGTAAGTCAAGTTGAAGGTTTTTAGTGATAGAAATGTTATTTTAAAGGTTTAAAGTGTCTCCGAGTATCACTTTCATGGTTTTTTATGCAATTTTCTTTTTTTTTATATTGTTTGGATACAAAATTAATAGTTATGTTGTTTGAAAACATATTTAGTAGTATTATAAAGGAGAGTATTAATTAATTTGGGTGGATTTACTATATAATAGAATGGTATGTTTAATTAGAAAAAAAGGTTGGGTCCTTGCAAAAAAAATCTATTTTAACAAGATAGACGTACGGTTTGAAAAAGAAATCTAGAATGCTTTACCTGCTATACCATCACATGAGGCCCACTCATTTAATTGCTCAACTATCCATTCTCATACCTAATTAAAATAAGGAATGCTATAGTATAATAAGTTTTTATTAATTTTCATGAAAATAATTTTCAAATAATAAAGTGACCAAAATGAATTTATTAAAAGGTAATATATTATTTAATTAAAATAGATTTTATTGAAGATAAATATACTATTACATCTCTAAAATTAGCTAATTTTGGACTTTTTATATAAAATTAAGGGATGAAGTGTTTCGGATGAGATTTAATTTTTTTTTAAACAGAAAATTCATATTGAAGATTTCAAAATAAAAAAATTAAAAATAGTTTCAAAAATTACTTTGCTATTACAAAAATAAAAACTTGATAATAAATTGAAATTAAAAGAATTTGAGTTTTAGTTTCAGTTATTTTTTTTTTAGATTTGGTTTTTAGTTTTTAAGTTTCTATTTTTGAATTTCGGCCTTTGGTTTTGGTTTTTAGTTTTAAGATCCTCTGAGTTAATTTGAACTGATATTATCAACAAACAACTCATATATAATCGAACATCTAATTTAAAATAAAAATTTTAAAAAAAATTGTAATAGTTTATTTTGTAAAGAAACAAAAGAAAAATTATAACTCACGTTCTGAGCTTTTGGTTTTTAGTTTTTAGATTTTATTTTTGGTTTTGCTTTACATTTATTTATTTTTTAAATCAGTAAAATATTTTAGAAAAATATTAAAAGAAATTATTTAAAATTTACCATTGAAATTTATCAAAATAGAGTGATTTTTATTTAAAATAAAAATACATTAACATGTTTTAAGTGTATGATTTAAATAAGTGATTAATAATGGACAATTTTGTTTTGTTAAAAATATTAAACACATTTGGACCTGAAAATAGTAATTGATTTTTTTGATCCATAAGGTGGAAAGTTTATTCAATATTTTTTTGAAGTTCCCCCTAATACTAAACCCAAAAATCAAACCATATATTTTTTTCTAAAAACAAAATGTAAGCCCAAAACGCTATCTCATATATAACTGCCGTTTTCTTTTTAATTTAGCTTACACATATTAATCGTGTTGGTTTAATTTAAGTAATGCGGTTCAATCAACGATATATCATGTATTATTTGTAACACTCTCTAAATTTAAAGGACAATTTGTATCACTAGATAAAAAAAAACTCTATTTTAGTAGAGTAAGTTTCTAAAAATTTATTGGTTTCATATAATTATTAGATTTCCATATTTTTGAGGAACTGTGAAGATATTAAATCTATTGGTTTCATATAATTAGTAGATTTACATATTTCATATTTTTATGATATATATTCGTAGGATATTCCATATTTTGTCCAAATATGTGTTCTCGATAAACTTCCAAAATTATATTGACAAAATATTTGTTCTCGTAGGATATTCCATATTTTGATTAGATAGCTATAGTTTTTGGTTTAGTTTTTGGGTCTTCGTTGTGCACGAGTACTTATTAATTTTGAAATTAATAACAATTTGATTTTTTTTTTTTTTACTGAATAACAGTTAACCTTTTAAATTATAAAAGGTAATGTTTTAGTTTAGTTAAAGATAAGGAGTCGGTACATATTATTTTCTAGCATAAGTTAATATTTTCTTTTTTACTGAATGACAATTAACCTTTTAAATTATAAAAACATAATGTTTTAGTTTAGTTAAATTTTAGGTGTCGGTACATATTATTTTTCTAGCATAAGTTTATAGTATATAAAATTGTATTATTTCAAACTATTTTGTTGTTTTATTATATATTGTTTGTGTTCTTGGTAAACTTCCAAAATTATATTGACAGAATATGTGTTCTTGTAGGATATTCCATATTTTGAATTATTAATATACTCATAGATAATTGCCTGGTTTTTTTCTAATTTGTTTACACATATTAATCGTGTTGGTTTAATTTAAGTAATAGTTTAATTTAAGTAATACGATTCAATTAACTATATTATTTGTAACATTCTATAAATAATCTAAATTTAAATGATAATTTGTATTAGTAGATAAAAAAAGACTATGTTTCAGTAAAGTAGATATATAATTGTAGTCCCATATACAAACAATATAGGCCCTATCGTAATTACTAGATTATATAAAACATTCATATGTTGAAACGAATAAGAACCCACGTGGAATTAAAAGTAGAAGTGACAGGAATAAATATAGTAAATAGCCTTTTTGACCAGAACCAAGGGAGATCGATCTTCTCCGAAGTAAATTTTGGTTTGTCTTTCTCTTTGTTGGATTCACGAATCTAGTTAGTTGGAGTGTGAATTACTCAATCAATAATTTTTATATTTTTATTCGCAACAAAAGTAAAATATGTATATCAATTATAGGCACCATCGGTGTATAATTTTTTTTTATTCGTAACCAAAGTAAACTATGTATATGAAATTATGAATTATAGGCATCATTGATCTATATTGTAGCTTTTTCCTGTAGTTCTTGTTATCTTATTTTTCTCAAACAAAACTTTTAATACATTTTACAGAATCCATACATTTGTTGTTGTGTCGACTGATTAGTGGATTACTATAAGGGATAATATATCTCATGTCAAAAATTCAAAAGGATCTTAATAAATATATAAAAAAAGATGATTAATTTATTCATCATAAACTGATTTTAAGTTAGAAATCCATAATAAATTTAAATTTAACATAGTATTAGAGTCTTAAAAACCATAAATTTCTAATTAATTGATTAGATTTTTTGACTGTGTATAATGATCTTGTTGAACCTTTAAACTAGATATAATTATTGTATTTGACTTGCTTGATAAGAAAGCTATCATCTAAAACAAAGAATATTAAGAATAATATATCTCACATCACGAATTCAATAAGAATTTAAATAATATATACAAAATTAGATCTAATTCACTTATCATCAATTAATTTTAATTTGAAAGTATATAATAAATCTGAATTTAACAATTAAAAAGATTTATGCAAAGATATCGAAGATTTGTGATAATGTTTTTTCATTTTTTGTTAGACAACCGAATTTGTTAGAAACATTTCTAATTAATGTGACTGCTTTATATGATACATATCTATTATTTATGGCTATGATATCTTTGTCCATACTACTCATAACTAATTAAATAAATACTCGAGATGTTAAATAGATAAATTAAACCGGTAGATGTTGTCATGGGTCTATGTTTTTGTTGATGACAAAAAAAAAGTAAGTATAACATCTGTGATTAGAGTGGTGGGTTTTTGGTCCACCTGAGCCAAATAGTAACTTTGAAGTTGATATAGTTGTACACACAAGGGAAAACCATGTGGCTATCAAATGCTTTAAATAATTGGGAGACGAATGATAATGACTGAAGAAGAGGGTTTAATCACATCCGTTTTCGCTTTCTCTTTCTCTATCTTTATTCATCACTTCTTTACATGTCTCTTTGAGTTTGGACCAATTTACTCCAAAGTCCTAAACCCCGAAACCCATCATCACCGGTTCTGGCTAATGGACGTTGTCCTCCGTCGCTACCACCGTCGTTTGATCTCAACTCTCGTTGTCTTTACTCTTCTTTTCCTTTCTTTCTCATTCTCCGCAACCGCCTTTCCTCATCAAGATCTTAGTAAGAACTCTATTTTTAACCTTATTTTTTTATCATATTTATTTTATATATAGCATAATAGTTTAATTTTCTAGTCTATATGGAATGTTATTCCTTGACTTCAGTGGCAATTGCATACTCAACTTTGTAAATGTTTCGTTACTTACAAAGTGGAGGACTATAAAACAACTCTTCTTCTTATCATTGCTTACATACTAGAGAGTGAGTTAACTCGGGTTTGAAACTAGGGGGAGGGCTTGTGGAGACTAGGAAAGAGACAGGTGGGTCGGGTTTACCAGGTCGGATCGTAGATCAGAAGCGGTTAGCTGGTCCGGGCTCTGCGCCTCCGATTTGTAGATCGAAGTGCTGTAAGTGTGAGCCGTGTAAAGCAGTTCACGTTCCGATTCAAGCAGGTCTTATTGCGCCATTGGAGTATTACCCCGAAGCTTGGCGTTGCAAGTGTGGCAACAAAATCTTTATGCCCTAACTTAATTCTTGCATAATTAGTGACTTTGAAATATCCAAATTTTCCATTTCTTGTGATTAATTGTTCTCTAATTTTTCTTATCCCGGCTTATTAAGTTTCTATAGTGTTTGATGTATTATTGATGGATATTTATGTGGAACAGATTTTATTTATCATTTTTCTCACTACTCATCACTATTTTCAAATAATCTGATAAAATTACTTCTGAGTCTAATTATAATATAGCGATTTGTATTATAGTGATGTTAATGTTTTTTTCTTTAGATTTAGTCATGCTATGTTAATTACGTACATGTAACCATCTGGATTTGATTTTGTAAAATGTTTGTATGCTTTTGACACTATATTTATAAAGCGTTAGTTTTATAAAGTTTGTATAGCTGAAATAATAAATTATTTAATATGTTACTATTTTAATAAAAGAAAATTAGGAGTTCAGATAATTTTTCGGAAGATATGTATGTGATCATTACAATACACATGCATTGTCTTCCTTATTAAGTGCTACTAGTGTTTGACCCGCGCGCCCGGGTGTTTGTTTAAATTTATAATCTTTGTAAATTTATATACCATTAGTAACTACAATGTGTTTATAAACTGTGGTCGATGTTATTAAGCGCATTACTATTTTATTAAATGTATTTTTGACAAAAATAAATGATTAGTAATACATTCAGCCATAAATTATTTTGTTTTTTGTTCCATCGTTAATTTTATATTGTACTCATATCTTAATATTTAAAATGTTGAAATTAATAATTATATATTAGGATTACTTATTTTTGAAAATATATGTTTAAACTTTTACTTAATGTTATACAGAAGTCATACTGATTTTATAAATTAATATTTTTAGTAAATGTATTTTTCTTTCATATAAAACAATTAGTAAGACAAAAACTAATTAATTATTTGAAAGTTTTTATGTCAAATGTATGTTACTCATGTACGAAATTATATATATATATATATATATATATATATATATATATATATATATATATATATATGTGCATTTAGTTGTTGTATATAATATAAATGGAGTATTTATTTTGTACATGAAAAATGATCTCTGTTTTAATAAGATAGACTAAATGATAAAAATGGCTTTATATTTAATTTAGGTAAATAAAATATAAATTACGTTTGGTCTTTATATAATATCTAAACTATTAATAAAAACAATTACAGTGGGCCAATATAACATGTAACAAATAAACTGGACAACAATATAAAATAAAAAACAATAAAGCCCAACACTACACTACCAGTTTTCTTTCCGGGGAAAAAAAACAACAGGTTTTTGGTTTAAACCTAACTAATTAATATGAAGACTGTGTTGCTCTCTGTCTCTGTCGGCAAGATGCTCTCTCATCTTCTCACCTTATTATCACCGAAATCAAATAGTAAACAAAACAGGGAAAATGATCTGGGTTCAAGACTGTAACTTAGACGATTTTAAATATAAAGCTTGGATTTTGTTTCCCTCTGTGATTTCTCATTTCTGTTTTTTTTTCCTTTTAGATCCACGGGTTTTCAATTTTTTTTGTATATCTTAAAGCTATAATGTAAATAAATTGTAGATCGGCGAAATTTTATAGATTCGAGAATTGAAAACTACCAAATCAGATTTTGTTTGTGATTAAGATAAGAAATCCAGAAAAGAATCTCGGCTCCGACATGCATGTTGAATACTTGATAACCATTTGATTTCATACTCGCTTTCTGGTTTGACAGAATTCTGTGTGAAATATGAGATTCTATTGAATTAGTTTCCACATACAAACTTAAATCTATTTTTTAGTATATTAACCCTACAACTCTTTCCTGCTTTAATCTAATTCTTCTGATTGCTTATGTTTTTTTCAGGAATGAAGCATAATTAATAATAAGTTAAGAGGAATTGATATAAGTTCTGGAGACAGAGAAACCTATAAGCGAAGAAGAGTAAACAGTTAAATATAGCAGAAATTTCGATAAATGTCTATATGAATGATTCATATCTCCAAAGAAAAATACTATACCATGTTCATTTACTGTTTAATCAGCAAGGATGCACTCAAGTGATTCTCCCCCAAAGCTGGTGTTTTGTTTCCAGGAATGAAGCATCTTCACACGTACCCTCCAGCAGGTTTTATAAGGTTTGACATCCTTCAGAACGTTGCAACTTGTGTTGGTCGGCATTTTTAGGTTTGAATTTCTGGGTGGATGTTGTCAGTATGAAAGAAGTTAACACAGAAGGATATATATATATATATGCTTAATAAAACTGGTGTTCACGTTAGGTATTATTATCAAAATCTTATTAGTTAGATATTTTCTTGATTGTAGGGTTGATTTAACTGAGTATATTCTCTTATTTGTAGAATAATAAATAGCAATATTAAAAGTCGTAACCTATTAGAATGTTAGATTTATAGAGAATCACGTTTGATTAGTTATTTCCAATTGATATTTGTATTTAAACTCATAAAACATTGGTAAATTTATTTTGAAAAATTAGATTTCAAATTAATTATGCTTAATTGTAGGAAAGATAATTAAGAAGGTTAGATTAGGAGTGAAACACGTTTTTTATAACGAAAATCCAAAGTTTGTTTGTCCTATATTGGGATATACCGTATCTATATGCAAAATTTTGAAAAAAAAAATCAGTTATGATAAATGTTCAGTAACCCTATGGTTTGTTCTGAATTATTAGGATTATATTATTAATTTGTAACTGGTTATTTCAATTGTAATATAGTTGTAAACTAAACGGTTTAAAGTCAAATGATTGTAGTTCTATATTCTTCAATTTTTAGATATACATGAAAAAAAATGTCATTAGTATCGTAAGGTTTTTTCAGTGTATTATTATATTTCTGGTTTGACTCACTAACATATCAGCAGATGTTCGAGACTATTGCCATGGGAAATAAGATGATTGTAACCACAATTGATTTTTTTTCGGATCAGCTTTGTATGTATCTAATCTATTGGTTTTGATTCTGCAGACCAAGATTAACCAAAGCATATCTGGTATGGAAACACGAAGCATATTGGTATGGAAACACGCAAGATTAGGTACCGTCCGGTTTTGTTTCGGATTAAGAAGAGTGAAGGCGGGTCAAATTTAAGTTGGTGATTTAGTAATTGAACTAAACGACAGTGTATTTAGGCCAGTGGCATAAACCTGTAATTATTTAGGAAAATTAAGGGTTAGTTTCCAGTTGTACTTCACTTTTAATAGATTAGATTACCCCGTATTTATAGACAATCCCCTCTCGATTAATTATATAGGCTCCTTATATGACCCATTGGTTTAATTGGTTCCTAGAGTTGACACCCATTAGGCCTTTTTTTTTTCACCAAACACCGATTAAGCCATTACTTGCCGTATGTAAATCAATCCACAAATAAGAATATCATATCTACTACGATAAAGAATTTAATTGCACGCCATATTTTTGAAGGACTATTTTATGCTATATGAAAAATAAATTTTGATGACACATGTGAGAACTGAATACATTCATGGTTCGCAGTATTTTTGCCCAAATTAACCACGAACTCACAGATGTACTCGTGCTTGCTGCATACCTTGTTTTTTTGCATAGAATAATGTCTGCTTTTGTATTCTTATGTCTGATTAGCTTTTTACTAGTTGACAAAAAATGTTAGCTTTTTTTTTTACTTTATGAAAATGTATTAATCTCATCGTCATTTAAAATGTTACATCTTTACGTACCCTTCAATTATCCTGTAGGTGCTTTCTCAGGAATATTATGATTTTGTGTGCTATGAGTTATGTTTTCATTTTTCAAGCTCTACACACATACTGTTGAGCTTGAACTTTTATCATTTTTATTATAAATAATTTGTAGCTTTTTATATTCTTTAACTGGAAAAGATTGGATAAATCAAAACGATATCTCAGTCGAGTGATGATAGTGTGATACGTGGTGCACATAAATCATTGTTAGAGTACGAAACACACGAGTTGGTCTTACAGAACTGCTTATCATTTATTGTCCGAGTCAAAGTCAGTTTTATTTTCACATGCACGCGGGGCCTCTTTCTACTATTTGTTCTTGACATATAAAGTAATACATTAATTGAACAAACAAAATTGATCATTTTTATAGCCGTAAGACGATTTTTTTTTTTTTTGAAAGATTGATTAGGTGGTAACTTTAAGAAATTAGGAAACATTTGTGAGAAGAATGTTACAGGGCTCGTGTACAAGCCATACACAAATAGTCTCACTTCAATGAATCTTATTATATAAACTAATGTTTTATCACTCTTTAGACCCTTAACGTAGGATACCATTTAGATAAGTCGATTTATAGAATGAGGACACATGTCTTCCCATTTATATATTTCGTTGTGACTCTGGGCTTCAGTAGTTTCACGCCCAACGGCTTGAGACTCCGTAAACCTAATGCATATTGAGCGAGGAATGAAGTAGACGGCGACTCTTGCTATTCCTCTCAACATCTCCAGAAACCTAATGTAAAATTTATGTTATTATAGGTAGATGAGCTTTAGGTTGTTGTATCTGAATCTTCGATTTTAAAAAACAAAGAACTCGATCAATTTCTGTCTGTATATTGGACCAGTTAGTGAATGGGCCTTAACCATTAGATAGATTAGATTGGCCCAATGGTCGAGAGACCCATTAGCTTTAGGCGGTCAGCTCTTTTACCTTTTCTATGTATTTCCAATTCCTTGTTACTTTAGGAATTGGATGTTTTCCATTTATCTTGTTCTTGTATCCCATATATATATGGAACCTCTAAAGCATGAATAAGACACAGATTTCACTTTGGTTTACAACAAGTAATACATTAATTGAACAAACAAAATTGATCATTTTTATAGCCGTAAAACGATTTTTTTTTTTTTTGAAAGATTGATTAGGTGGTAACTTTAAGAAATTAGGAAACATTTGTGAGAAGAATGTTACAGGACTCGTGTACAAGCCATACACAAATAGTCTCACTTCAATGAATCTTATTATATAAACTAATGTTTTATCACTCTTTAGACCCTTAACGTAAGATACCACTTAGATAAGTCGATTTATAGAATGAGGACACATGTCTTCCCATTTATATATTTCGTTGTGACTCTGGGCTTCAGTAGTTTCACGCCCAACGGCTTGAGATTCCGTAA